GAGAATTTAACTAAAAGGGAAACTTTGTTTTCAACTGTCCTAGCTGGTAAAATAAAGGACTAAATTGAAACGAACAATAATGATGGAGAATTAATGTGAAAATGTGGTTTTATGGAAAGGAAAATTCATAACCTCTTCACCTCATTTAGAAATTCAAAACTTGCTGGGCTATGATTTGCTAAGACTCTCCTGCCCAGTACTAAAGTCGCACTTCAAACTGTTTGCTTTTCCAATTCGTAACATCATGAAGTTGTCTCTTTCTTTCACAAAAAAATGTAAGACTACTAATTAATTAACAGGATTTAAATAATTGAAAGGAAATGGTCAGATATATCTAAACCTATTTCAATGTACAAGTTGTTTATATGCTGTATATACACGCACCTAGTTTAGAGTTGATGCAATATACATTTAGACATCTCGTAGTGGTGACTCAGGCACGGCCCATACAAATCTGACAGGATATTCTCAATCTGTGGTCACCCTGTACACAATACTACGCATCTATAAACTTGATGTTGATTTTGTTCATATTAAATATTAAATTAACTAAATACCTGCAAATTCCACCAGTGGGTCCCCACATAGTTTGAGAAATGTCCCAGCTGCAGGGTCACAACCTCGCGACACACGTTTGCCATTGTGCCCTACAAACATCCGTCTAACGGGGATAAAATATAAATGTTCCTTCGGAAAATTCATAAAATAATATCAGAACACTCGCGTAAACTCTCACCGGCCGTGAGTACAGGATTCTCAATCTAACCCCAGGCTGCGAAACAAGACCCCACCTCCACGCACAGGTCTTAGTCCCTGGGATTGGCTAACGGGCAACACATCGTATTGCGATTGGCTAAGAGTGTTGTATTTCAGAATGTTCTAGTTTTTCCTGTCGCTCAACGGGTTTGGTTGCACGGCACCAGGGAAACACACGTGGAGCAGCGAGCTCTCTGATTGGAGCGGAGAAGGAAGCTGCTGTCCAATTGGATGGCAGAGGAGAGGAGTAAGCAGGAGCTCGGATTGGTTCAAAATTAGGGGCGGGTTCACGAATGTACACACTCCAGTTGTGTTGTGGACTACAGTAGATAATACTGAACATGTTTACATACGGCACATGAGTTAGTATAGAAGCTGTTTTATCACATTGTTTTTTTACAGTAAAGGTAGTCAATTTTGTAAATCACTGCAGTGTTTGGAAAAGACTCGAAGGTAAGAAATTATCTCTGTCAATACAGTAATATCATATTGTAATACTATGAATAGTTTCAAAGTGATTTCGTGTAAAATTCACTGAATTTCTAAAACAGAATGTGTTCCAAATCCCTACATTTTGTTTTTAGCGAAAAAACAATTCGATCTGCACCTTTTTTCATTCCGATGAAAAATTGCATTTATATAGCGCCCTGCATACAGGTGGAGACTCACTTCACTGCCCATCCATGTGGGAGACACACATGGATGGGCAGTGAAGTGCCCATCCATGTGTGGCACACAGGTCAGGGGGGGAGAGAGACACTGCTGCCCCAAGGGAATCCTGGGAGAGCTTCGGAGAGGTCAGGCTGTACAGCCCAGACTGGAGCCAGGAGACCAGGGTTAACAGATCTACACTTCACTCGTGTATCAATAAATAAACTCAATTACCAAAGATCTGCAAACAGCACTTATGGGAGGGCGGGGTAAGGAAATGATTATTTTTTAATAGTTTGATTATTGATGTGCCCAGTGCTTGCTGGGACAGGCTCTAGGTCACCATGACTCTGAAGTGAAAAGGGGTTATGGGATGTGATGGGATTATGGGTATTGTACCTCTCAGATGGGGTTCCCAGCCCTGGTCTGCAGGAACCCCAGTCCAACAGGTATTCCGTGTCGCCCTAGAATCACAGAGTTCTAATATCAGGAACCAGTTGACTCCGACCAGCAGCAGGTAACCTGTTCAATGGAGTTATTTAGAAAAGATCTGGAACGAAAGGTCAGAAAACTCAAGGACAAAAGCTCCATGTTTCATTGACCAATGATACATCCATCCCTCCATCTTATAACAACTTATTCCAATTCAGGGATGCAGTGGAGCTGGAGCCTATCCCAGCAAGCAACAGGCGCTAGGCAGGGTGCACCCTGGACGGGACACCAGTCCATCAGAGGGCAGACACACACCCACACACACACACCCTGGATGGAACACCAGGCCAGGCAGGCAGACAGACAAACACACATTCACACCAAGAACAGTTTTCCCACAAGCCAATTAATCTACC